TTTTGATTTATTGGACTATCGCTGTAAAATGCCTGATCACTCTCTGTTAGTTTTAACTTTCAAAGGAAGGAAAAACCCTGTGGTCTCAAGTAATGCACAGCCTAAACAATACAAACAAATTAATACGAGAAATCTCCCCCATCATCTCTTTTAAAATGACAGGTTTCAGTCTGCAGTCACAGCCTTAGTAGATAAATTGACCCATGTAAATCATGAACATTTGATGAATGATATGTATGGAGATTTTTGTCAATTTGTGAATGATATTGGTACATCTCATGGCATCTTTAAATGCTTTACTAGAAAACAAAAACAAACAATAAACCAACCTTACTGGAATAAGGAATTATCTACATTGTGGAAAGAGGTGAGACTGGCTGAGAAAAAGTATCTCCTGTGCAATAGCATAAATAAACAACAGCTAAAATATGATTTTAAAAATAAGCAACACCAGTTTGATAAAAGACTCCGAGCAAACAAGAGAAGATATCAAAGAGGACTAGCTGTAAAAATTGAACATAATCAAACTCATAACCCCCAAACATTTTGGAGTCAGGTGAATAAACTTGGACCAAGAAAAGTGAAAAAAATACCACTAGAAGTGATTTTGGAGGATGGATCCTTTTGTTTTGATGTTTAAATGGTATTAAAGAATTGGGAATCTGAATTTAAAGCGTTATTTTCAGGTAGTTTGGTGTCCCCTGAGTGGGATGATTTTTATTTTGAAATGATATCGGTGCTAAAAAACCAAAGTTTTCATTTAATCCATATTTAAATTTTGTTACTACAGAAAGTGAAGTCAAAAGGGCAATAGATAAACTAAAAGTTAAGAAAGCGACTGGATTTGACAACTTGTCTAATGAATTGCTAAAACAGCCTGGTTTGTTCCCAGTGCTTTATAATTTACTGTTTACCTGCTTTGAGCAGGGCTTGATCCCTTCAGACTGGCACAAATCTGTTATCAAACCTATTCCAAAGTCACACAGTTCAGACCCTCGAGTGCCTATGAACTATAGAGGAATAAGTCTTCTTAGTTGTGTGTACAAATTGTAAAGCAGTATTCTTAATGAGAGATTGACGTGTTGCCTGGAATCCCTTAACCTACTGTACTGGCTGACGAACAGAACGGGTTTAGGACAAAAAGAGCCTGTATTGATCACATTTATTCTCTCATCTCAGTAGCAAATGCTAGAAAAAAAGAGGGAAAGTCTACATTTGCTTGTTTCATAGACTTTCAGAAAGCCTTTGACTGTGTTAATCAAGATTTACTTGGCTATATGCTATTAAAAATAGGGATTGGTGGTAAATTTTATGATGCAGTTAAAGCTAGTTATAAAAATCCAATTTCTTGTGTTCAAGTAAATGACCACTTCACTGACTGGTTCCCAACACCATATGGCGTAAAACAGGGTGATGTTCTGTCTCCCACATTATTTGCCATATACATTAATGATTTAGTATACAAAGTAAAAGAGGCAGATGTGGGCATTAATGTGGGAGACTTGAAACTTTTTATTCTGTTGTATGCGGACGACATTGTGCTATTAGCCGAAAAGGAATCTGTTAGGGTTTGTATATTGGACCCCAAAGCAGACTCTGACACTGAGAATAGCTCCAGAAAAAGTAAAGTTTATTTTACAAAAAAAAAGGTTGGGCGGTGAAGACAGGAGGCAGGTCAAAAAGGCGAACCTGAACACAGAAGTAAAAGTTATGAGTCAAAAGGACAAAATAACATGAGCTGGACAAAAACCACTGACATGAGACATAGAATAATGCAGGTGTGCCTCCTTCTACTGGAAGATGAACCAGCCACGCCCCCTGTCACACACACCCTGCAGAGAAAACAAAAGGGAGGGGGAGCAGAACAACCAGATCCCTAACAGAATCAGACCTTCAGAAAATGTTGAATATCATTCATGCTTGGTTCAACAAAATGAGAATGATGATAAATTCTGATAAAACTCAAATTATGCATTTCAGAGGAAGTACCCAGGCATTATCAGACATTACATTTTGTTTAGGCACCACAGTTCTTTCTTTTACTAAAAAATACAAATATCTTGGATTTATGGTAGATGAACATCTCTCATTTGATGAAGGGATTAGATCACTGTCTGAATCTGCAGGTCGAGCTCTCGGTGCTGTTATAAATAAAGTTAAGGCGTGTCGTGATCTTGGCTATAAGACCTACACTGAGCTGTACAAAGCTTGTGTCTGTCCGGTGTTGGACTATGGTGCTGGGGTCTGGGGTTACTGTAAACAAACGCACAGTGAAAAAGTTCAATGCAGAGCTCCGAAGTACTTTCTAGGTGTTCATAAAAACACGTACGGGGACCTGGGTTGGGAACCATGTGAAGTAAGGCATGTTTGTGACATGGTACGGTTATGGAACAGGTTTATCAATATGTCTGAATCAAGACTGTCCAAACACATATTTAAATGGGACCTGTCTCATAGACATGTTTGGAGTGTGCACATGGAGAACATTTTTGTGGATGCTGATCTCCAGTTTATTTTCCGAAACAAGTTGAGATGTAGTGTTAGAGAAATTAAAAAAGTTTATTTTGAAAAGTATAAACATAAATGGTTAAACAATGTCTTGTGTAAGCCAAAACTGAGAACCTATGTTTTGATTAAAGATAATTTAGGTCCTGACCCTATGTGACCCTGAATCTGACCAGAGCTCAGAGGTCAGTGTGTGCTCAACTGAGGTCTGGGACCTGCCCCTGGCTCTGGAGACAGGACGATTTCACTCGGTCCCAGAGGAGGAGAGGACATGCTGTTTGTGTCACTTAAACGATATTGAAAATGAATTGCATTTTGTGTTTTTTGTCCTTTGTACCATGAACTGAGAAGGCAATTATTTTGTAAACTGTCTGATGTTGCTGAACTTTTGTTTGAACTGACCGATGAGGAAAAGCTTAAGTTTCTGTTCAAGTATAAGCCATTTCACTTGTCCAAGTTTTTGTTAAGTGCATGGCTCCAACGGAAGAGGACACTCTTTGTTTGATGTATTTCTGATGTCTGCCTACATCTTTGTGTCTTATAAGCCCATACGGGCTGGGCATCTTTAGGTGCAAGACACCAACTAAGAAATAAACTAAACTATACTAAACTAAAGTATTTAGATAACTCAAACATGCATGAATTGTGCAAAAAAACTGCTTTGTGTGTAAATGACAAAAGAAAATCAACAAGAGCAAAAGCTGAGAAAAGTCTATTTCTAGGTAATTTCCCCTTTAAAATGAGCTCAAACATTGAATGATTATTTTGCGGTAATGCTTGTACTGGATTGCTCTCAGTGGGATCACATGCACACAGAGAATGTTTATTCATCCCAGAAAAATGGGGTGCAACAGCAGAACGTGTCCTCCTACACAGTGAAACCAGGGTGTAGCTCTGAAAAAATATCTTCCTCCTCTCCACATCTGGACTATTGGCAGGACATCGTTTCCTTTGTGTTATCTGCAGGCCCGGGAGTTCTTTTGCAACAATAAGTTTAGGGAAGGGCAGGTTCTGGCGTTTTCACTGTGAGAACGCAAACCGATTTTGCGACTTAATTAAAGACAAAATGTGATGTGACATTGGCAGCTCCACAAGTGACTTGACAGTGTTTGGGTTTTGGTAAATCAGTGTCGTTGTGCGGCCTTCTGCGAGATGTGATTGCAGCTGCATCTTGGACTGCAATGTGAGAAGAGAACCAAGGGAAAGACAAAACTAAGAACAAGATTAAGTGATCCTTACTTCGTCCCACAGTGGAGAAATTTCAGTGTTGCATCACAAGTTATAGAACAGTAGGAATGAGCAGCACACAGCACAAGATAAGTGAACAATAGCCTTTAAAATTAAACTAAATCTCCAACTCTAGCATCAAAAGACAAGTATAAAATCTCAATCTTGAAAAAATTAATAAAACAGAATAAAATAATAATGAAAAATAAGTATAAAAGTTCAACATTTGGCATAATAATAGGCAAGTATAAAGTACTAGAATTCTAGTGCAAGCAATGTGTAGTTATATGTTAGTAAGTAACTAAGAAAGTTAAAAAAAAAATTTATACCGTCAGAGTCACAAAGCGGTTTACAATTGTGGGCATATGTCTCACTCCACACAGAGATGGGAGCGAGGTTAGCATCTGTACATTAGCAGCAGTATGTTTTACATCCGTACATTAGCAGCATGAGGTTCTGCGACAAGATGGGGTACCTATCTTTCAAACCACAAAATAAGTGGAACTACTTGAAATTGAAAGTTCCTTGCTTCAAAACAGTTCGATTGTATGGTTTGTGGATGCATGTTTTTGGCCTCTACCTCAGTGAAAAAGAGAGGACCACCTTCACTCATCCGATCAGTTCAAAGCCTCATATATTTGCGGCATAGGTAGTTACAGGCTTTCTTACAAGCATGCAAAAGATAACCTTTCTTGTAAAATCAGTAAGATAACAAGTTGTGGTCTGATTCGTTCACATTCTTTTGTGAGAGCCAATGTGTAAATCTTAGGTACCCCAGATTTAAAACCAATCTGCATGAAGTTACAGATTATTTAACATTTCTGGAACATGGGGTTTCCCTTTTCTTTTTTTTTTTTTTTTTTTTTTTTTTTTTTACAACGATTGACTTATTTAAACTCTTGTGTGAAAGATCATATTAAAATTGTGTTCCGCTTGTTTCCAACAAAAAATAGAAAAAAGGAAGCACAGGATATAATTTCTTTCTCAACAGTTTAGATCACACCTCTTGATGAATTCCATCATTATAGAAACCATCCTCTTTGTGTCTTTTCACATGGGCTGCTCATTTGTTTGAATCATAATGAAAGTGGTTTTCCTCTGCCCATGGGTACCTGCGCCTGATGCTAAGCAGATCCCTTCTGCATCCAAACAATACATACTATTGTGGAATTGTCTTGGGGCCATATAGGGCCGCCCGCGCTGATTCGAGCTCATAAAAGAATAGTAAAACGAGCTAAACTGGCAGAAATCTGGTGTGAAATCTCATTATGCTGGAGGAGGTCAGACTTCTATTGCTGTCCACCTACACAATTAAGGCTCGCCCACAACATGCAGCTGCAGACAAATCTGACTTGAGAAATGTGTACAAAGTTTAAGCCTAAAGCAGCTGAAGGTGTAGAAAGAGAGCTGGCTCAGCAAAGACAACCCCTGTTTGAAGACACACGAGAATGAACATGAATCTGTGTTTGTTCCAAACACATGTCATTATAATAACGATTAGCTCTTGTTAAAGAGGATATTAGCACCTGACTCCAGACTAAATGATGGTGGACGGCGATGAGGCAGACGGTGTCACCTGCATATGTAACCGCACACAAACACGAGCTTAGCTCCACGGGACAAACACACATTTGCGGCCGCGTCATCTGCAGCTCACAGCTTTTACTCATCCCAACAACCCGCAATTTCACTGCAGGACTTTCCCTGAACTGAAACAAAGACTCGTTTATCCTTAAACGTGTCTCAACGCATCGCGCTGATGAGCAATAAAGAAGCACTTGATGATAATTGCAACAATTTGGAAAAGCGCAGATAGTTACTGTGCGCGTGTATGTGCGCGTGCATGTGCACTAAACCCTCCGCTGACGTCACATATTTAATGGTCGCGCCCGCAGCGCACGGCTGCAGTCTGCAGAGTCCCATCAGCGCTGGAAAGTCCATCTGCTCGTCTGCACGGTAAAGTACTTTACACACTCTCTGATCTGCGCTCCGCTCTGCAGCTTTCCACAACTTTCACTTCGTTTTCAAGTCTATTTTAGCTGTTTAGAACATGGACAACATGATGCTGATAAAAAGATAAAGTAGATGCTGTCCCAGTTGTCTGAACACACACTAGTAACTCTTCACGCAGTTGTTTTTGTAAGTTGCATGAAATTCCTGATATTTTTAACTCGTGGTTTGTTTCTTTTGATGTATCTCCTCGTTTTCTTTAGCTCACTTTTTTAGAGATAAAGTTTCCTTGCTCTTGCACTCTGAGTTTTTATGCTGTGTAACCCAAGCCCCGTCACTATTGCAGACAACCCGCGCCTTCTCTCATGCATCGTTTGTACTTTCAGATCTTCAAACAATGATGGATATAGTAACAGACAGTCCGTTTTACCACATGAACGCCACAGACGCGCCTGGGAGGAACAGCACTCTTTACGACGAGGATGAGTACGACTACTACAAGGAGGAGCACGCCGAGCTGAAACAGTCCCTCAACATCATGTCGCTCATCGTGTACTGCCTGGCCTTCGTGCTGGGTGTCGTAGGCAATGGCGTGGTCATATGGGTGACCGGCTTCAAGATGAAGGAAACCGTCAACACAGTTTGGTTTCTCAATCTGGCCGTGGCCGACTTTCTCTTCACAGCTTTCCTTCCTCTAAGCGTGACCTACACCGCCATGGACTTCCATTGGCCGTTTGGGAAGTTCATGTGCAAACTCAACAGCACCATCAGCTTCTTGAACATGTTTGCCAGTGTGTATATCCTCGTGGTGATCAGCGTGGATCGATGCGTGTCCGTGGTGTGGCCGGTGTGGGCGCAGAACTACCGGAGCGTTCGCAAGGCGTCCTGCGTCAGTCTTGGAGTCTGGGTGCTGGCTTTAATCCTGAGCGCTCCTTACTTCATCATTCGGGACACGGGACCGTCCTACGACAACGAGGACATAATCAACTGCTTCAACAACTTTGCTTTCTCTGACGACTACGAAAATCCGGCTGTGATACATCTAGGGCAGTTTCGCCATCAAGCCATGAGCATTACGCGCTTTCTCTTTGGATTCGTTGTGCCGTTTACGATTATAGTATCGTGTTATGCCGTCATAATACATCGGCTTAGAAAGAACCGCAGTTTGGCGAGTCAGTCAAGTCGCCCTTTTAAAATAATCGCGGCAGTTATTACAACTTTTTTCCTCTGCTGGGCCCCATACCACATCATGGCGCTGATTGAGTTGGTACATCACATGTCTAGTAGACAAAGCGAGACTTTGGACCACGTCATAACTATAGGCGTCCCCATAGCAACAAGTCTGGCTTTTCTCAACAGTTGCTTAAACCCGCTCCTCTATGTGTTCATGGGGCAAGACTTCAAGGATAAAGTCCGTAAATCCATTTTGAAAGTCTTGGAGACGGCTTTCCAGGAGGAGGTGTCTCGATCGTACACCTGCACAAACTCCATGATCACGAGTCGAAGTAAAGACAAGTCTGTGTCTGAGGCCGAAGTATGAGACTGTGTGAGTGGACTGCTTCGCAAAAAAGAGACATTGCAAAATTGCTTGTTGTTAGTTTTTTTTATTAAAGACTAAAACACGACTGTATCTATAAGTTCCATGTAGTCAATCTTTGTTCATATAAAGAAAATGTAAAACATAAAGTACAATGTCTCCTTTAAACCTATGTAACTTTCTTTTTCGTTTACTAAAATATGAAAAACAGAAAACGCCTTCTATCAGTTAAAAATATATTACTGTGAGAAAGACCCCTGTGAGTTCTATTTAAATTTACAGAAATTAGTTAATAATTATTGTTTTTTTTTTTTTTTAAAGTGCACAATACATCTCCTTTAAATCCGGGGAAATTATATTTTTTGTATGTTTATGTCCCAACAAAAAGAGCCTTGTATATGCTATCATCGTCTTTTTAAAAAAACATGTTAACTTTTCCGTTCTTGTAAGAAAGAGTTCCGTGAGTCACTATTTAACGCTTTGGGCTGAGAGCTGATTGGCTGAGGGAGGGCTGTCATTTCTCTTTTTTTACTTTTTTGCCTGAATCAGCTGATCTAAAGATGTGACAGAATCTTTTCATCAGCTGCATGTGAAACCTAGTGACAGGAGAAGACGAGAGCCAAAACAGGAAGTGCCCCAGTTTGCAATCTTATGAAACTAGTGTTGTATTTTATGGTTTAGATGTCGAAGCAAAAATATTAACAAGAAAATACATGGGTAAACAACCATCTAGGCCGATGGAATAAGAGATGACCATAATGACTCCCATATTCTGATCATTATCATTGACGTAAAGAATGTAAAGAATGTCATTTGTTTTAAGAATTTCCCCAAACTAATTAGGAGGCAAAAGGTAGAACACAGCTCTGTCCATTACATCATAGTGTCAGGGTTCCTCACAGTGCAACATTTGAAAACAGAGCATTTCTACAGAAGGGGTGGGGGATGTGATTGTGCCAGAAGTTCAACACCTCCTGTTTTCAATGACCAACAGTTGAAACATGGTAAAAAGCTCAAATATGTATATTTTTATAGCACTTTTTAATTTATTGCAAATATTTCTTTTTTATGTATCCCATTAATACTGTTTAAATGTTGTCAGTGTATATAACAAATGACAGTCATGCTTTTTTATAGATTTTATGCTCATGTTTCAAATTATTCTTTAACGCATCCTAAATCTTACAAAAATGTCAGAGGTGCTCAACTGTGTTGCATTGTTTATACTTTTGATCTGATCATGTAAAGATTGTCAGGTTTACTCAATACTTCTGGAATAAAATTAAATGTTTCTTTTTGATGCTTTGATTTTAGTGTTTCTTAAACTAACTCTTTACAGAACGGAAGGGAAGCATCTCAAAGTGGTGATGAAAAAACAGAAGAGGAACCTGTGGTGGTCTTTGTAAAAAGAAATTCTTATAGATTTAAATAAAACCTTTAGATGTGTTCTTGTAACAACACAGCATGTAAACATTATGGCTAAGGAGAACAGTAGCTTCCTTCTTTGTAACTGTAAATCGTTCAGACTTCTTTAGTTTCGAGCAGTGATGGGCAAACCCCGGCCTGTGGGCCAGATGCAGCCCTTTGGACACTTCTATCAGGCCCCTGTGCTCTCCTCGCTTTCTGTGATAATATCATAATAATAATATGTAATATAATAAGTCTGGATGTAATAAATTAAGCCTGAGATAAACATTGGAAATTAGGTCCGGCCCCCGACAGCAGGCTCTCAATGTGGCACTCAGGAGGAAACGTTTGCCTGGTGTAACAATGTAACCCTTATGTTTTGATTGTACTTTATAGCGCTTTTTTGTACACTCAGGGACACCGTTATGATTGCTGTTGGGGGTAACAAAATACATATTCAGAACACTGTTTTGAGTGTGTATTTGGATACATTTATTTTTTCGTTAGGTGTTTTTAGAATGCCGTGACATTCCAAACATTAAAGGAATACATTGCCGTTTCTTATAATGACAGATTATATATCTATTTTTTTAATCATGTCAAGTGTGTGGGTTTGTTCCAAACTATTCTTCTTGAAAATTAAAGGGGTTTGCAATGCATGGCAATTGATGATTTAACTCCCTTGAATTTGCTCTTTGATTCATTCAGTCATTTAAGCCCTGACCAATTCTCATCACAATAAACAAAGTGATCAAAATAGTAACATACATTTTACATTATAATAGTAATTATACATTATTTTGATAAGACCAAGTAATAGAATGTTACACATTATTTATATTTTAGCTATACAGTATCTTTAGAATATTGTATACTATAATATAGTATCTTTCCTCTTACCAAAACACAAAGATAAAAAAAAAAATATTCAAATTTAAAGTGATGTTTATGAATTAATTTAAACAAAATATGACATGACAAGTAGGACCATCTTAGCAGGCCTCCCCTGATATTATAATAGACCCATGGCCTCCCCACTGGCATGCGTGGCACGGGGTGACACTCCACTTGAGGAAACACAGCCTTAAGAAAATAATGCACTGTCTGAAGTTGTCACAAGTCTGAATCCGAATCGGAATTACTACTAAGAGGAACGGACAGAATATTACATAGGGCGATGAAGGCAAGTGTGTATTTCATTATATATACTTCACCTACAGAGACCGCATTTACACGCTGTGGCTGGCACGTATAGTGCCACGATTTGTGGGTAAACATGACACTAGAAGGAGGTTATATTCAGTCATCACTCTACGTTTCACAGGTGATAAACAACCACATGGCTGGCGGAGTCAATTAATTTATGCATTGAAATGTGTCTTTCTTTGTCAAGGTCTTGTACTTCACTGCTAGCCACAAGAGGGCGCGGACACTCTGTGCAGGCTGTGTTGAGTCTGAGGAGTAGATAAAGACAAAAAACTATGCTTGCTTTCCATTGACCTTGATGGCATTAAAATGAACGTAATTAGCACTTAAAAGTATTATATTTAAAGTGTCCAAACCTTGAGTCTTTCTGTTTGATTTTTTTTTTTTTAAGATTAAATGAATGGAGAGGGCACAGTATTTTTCCCCAAAGATACCCTCTTTGAACGCAGTACTTGTCAGAGATGATTAGTATACATTTCTCAAAAGCCGAACAATACCTAAATGTATCCTAATAAATTATTTGCGAAATATAAATGCAATTGATATATTGTCAAAAAACAAAAATAAAACAAATCCAAAAACCTTTTGTGTTGGGGAAAAAATATCCGCATTTTTTTTATACGAGCAGGACGCCAAGTTGCCAAGTACGCTTCTTTGTATCTGAACTTTAGGCTTTTATATTTTGGCCTTCAAAATGTCAACGTTTAAAAGGTCATTATTAATGTAAATCATTATTGTTCTAGTTCGTTTTTTCACGAAATCGTTGAAGTTTAAAGCCTATTCTGTGCTTTTTTGTGTTGGTTGGGTCGCGTACTTTTGGTTATTCCTGGCAACCCTGAATCTATCGCACACAACAGAACCGCAGTAAGCTCGACTGATAAAAGGTAGAAGGACGATTCCAACGATCTGATGCAAACATGACGATCCATAGCAGCAATATGTGATGTTAGTGTACATACTGCTCACCAGTCAAGTCTGAAGTCCTTCGTTTGACGGTAAGATGACATTTTCTGCGCCATATTTGCGCTCTCATGCTGCTAGTCTTTGTCGCTGAGGCCAGCTTACGTACTCGAAGTAGATCCCCGCATTACTCCACTTTTACTAGAGAAAGCATCGCTATTCCATTGTAACTCATCCAGTCTCAGCTCAGCTCAACGCATATATATAAATAATGCTACACCTTTTAACTTTGGTGTGATCATTGACTTGTCTTTACTTAAAAACACAAGTGACCTAATTTTGGTTAATTTATTTTTCATGTTATGTTAGGGACATATCACACAGGTGACCTAGAGCAGTGGTTCCAAAAGTGGGGGTCCCAACCCCCCGAGGGGTCGCGTGAACCCCTGGGGGGGTTGCAAGATGATTTCAGAAAAAAAAAATTGAACAAATATATAGCCCTTAAATATTTATTTTGCATTTCATTTGATTGAAAAGGACTATTTGTTAAATAGATGAAGAAGATGACAAAGTCTGGGATCGCGTCTTAAATTCAGACAGAAGACATGTTTTATTGTCGATGGTAGAGACAGCACGAACAACACGAACAACAGAATGCAAGTGTATTATACAGAGCGGAGGCATGGAGACCTCCAATCAGCAGCTGCCACAGTGCCATGTAGCTTGGCCTTCAGATAGACAAAACAAGGGAAAAGTACTGGCTTCTGCACATTGATAGAATGATGAGTTTAACTTTAACAAAAGTTGCTTAAAAGTGTTATGAAATCTCACATCCCCCCCCTCTGGTCACACATTCACGTGTGACCATCAGGATCGATAAACAGCAACATAACATCATGACTCAATACTTCAACTCGGTACTTCAAAAAACTCGGAACACTTCAAAAAACTCGGAACACTTCAAAAAACTCAGAAAACTCATAAAACATGTTCAGATCTTTCATAAAACTTGTCAACAATCTTCAGTAAAATACCAAACTTCATCAGTCGATGGTGGTTCCAGATATTGCTTTGAAAACAGTCTCTCCTACTTCTCCGTGTTGATTTCTTCAGGCTGCATTTGTGTCGAGCCATGAATTCTTCTGTGACGTGTCTTTCAATCACACGTTTCAGCTTTAGTGTCCAGATTCAGAAATCCAATTGTTCCAAATGATGTCCATGCAAAAGAGGACGATGGTGTTGTCCATGTCTCAGCAGCTCACAGCAGGCCTAATTGGAATCAGGGGCTGTGCAGATTGTTCAAGTATTCTGGTCCAGATGCATGGTTTCTCTTGAAGTTTCAAAGTTTTGGCTTAAAAAAAACACATTTTTGTGTAAAAATTTGTTTTTAGATGTTCTCTAGATGTTACAGACAATGCCCGCATCCTTCCACCACCTGAAGAAGATGACAAAGTCTGGGATCGCGTCTTAAATTCAGACAGAAGACATGT